ATTCCTGGCAGGGTGAAGTTTTGCTGTAAGCAGCATTAATTCAGTTTCAGGTCAGGGATAAGATTGGGGGAGGAATGGAAACATTTTTTCATTTGATTTTATTTTTAAGATGAAGCTGTTTTGTGGTACTCAGATTTTTAATTATTCTAATCACTCTTGCTATTGTAATGGTTGGAATTAAACAACAACCCCAACCAACAGCCTCCCCAGGTGCAGCACTCCAGTTCTTAATCCTACATGAACCATGCACGCTCTGCTGCTGCCTCTGGCTCCTGCCTCCAGTTTGTGTTTTGTTTTCCCCCACTCAGCACCTGGCTGATGAGAAGACCTGTATGCAGTTCTCCATCCGCCGGCCCAAGCTGCCCTCCTCGGAAACCCACCCGGAGGAGGACACCTACAGGCGTCTGGATGTGTCTGCCTGGCTGCACCACCTGAACCAAGCCGGGCAGGTGGAGGAGGAGTACAAGCTGCAGAAGGTGAGGAGCTGCGGCCCCTTCCGTGCGGCCTCTCCTGCTGAGAAGGGCGAGTCCCTGGCTGGAAGCTGCAAGAGGTTTATTTCGTTGCCGGGTATAAAGCCTGGTGTGTAGTGTGTGGGGTGCAGAGGAGGCTGCTGCCGGCAGGGTGGCAGAGCATCTCTCTGGCCCGGGGGGCTGAGCTGTCCAGCCGCTGCTGCCTGTTGGAATTAGTAAAGTGTCCAGTGCTGGACGTGTTTGCAAAATGCAGTGTGAGCAAATCAAAGAAAGAAATCCTGAGATGACTGTATGAAGTAATGCAGGGCCTGCGGGGGAGCACTGAGTCCAGGTCCTGAGAGAGAAGTTTGCAGTGAAATGCAGTGTCTCCAAGATTGGGGATTAAGCCGTGACATGAGAACGACACGTTAATCATAGAGCCTCTCCAGGGGGGGTTATTGACATTGAAATGAGCCCGATTTGTGTCTCGTCTGGGAATAGAAGGCCAGCACTTTCCCTCTAAACATGTGCAAATTGCAGGAGCTTGAATCAAGGCGTCACTTGTCAGGAAAGAGCTGCAAAGCCACCAAAGCATAGTAGCAGGCAGTTTCTTGTTGCTGGTTTTGGGAATGTTACAACTGTACCAGTTGTAACTTTTGCTCCTTCTTCCAGGCCATTTTCTTTGGTGGGATTGATATTTCCATCCGTGGGGAGGTGTGGCCCTTCCTGCTGCACTACTACAGCTACGAGTCCACCTCTGAAGAGAGGGAGGCCCTGAGACTGCAGAAGCGGAAAGAGTACTTTGAGATCCAGGAGAAAAGGTAACAGACCATCTTTGTCCTCTTCTGCTCAGCTCTGCTCAGCCTGATGTCGCAGCAGCACCACTGGTGATGGATGGAGTCTCTGCCTCCTTCCCTTCAGGAGAAGCTGATTGGAGTTAAGTGAGAGGGATGGTAAATGAGGTGGACTAGGTACAGCTGACCTCTTGAAGGTCTGGAGCTAATACCCTGTAACTCAAATATTGCCTTCCTGGGGTTCTTGAAATGGGCCCATCAGTACCACATAGGGAAGCTTGACTCACTGGCAAGACTACAAGCTTGGCATTCTTGGTTTAGAGCAGTGAAGGTGAAAATGGAATCTTACATTTCTTCATTAATATATCTGGATCTAAAAACATGGAAGAGTAAGTGATATCTAACTCAAGGATGTTCTTACTGCAAGAACTGAAGTTATAAACTGGTTGTAGGTACATTTAAGCTGGAGAGGAGCAGCAGTATTATTAATTAGGAGACAATCAAAACAGAGCAGTGAGTTCTGGTGTCCTACCTGCAAGGATCAGTGGAGAGCTGAGTCCAACTGCTTCTAGGGTGGAGTTATCACAGAAAACACATCGTGTCACCCCATTCATAATCCAGGAGCCTCCCTCCAGTAATCCCTTGGGACAGACCTGCTGCTCTGCACAGACACGCTTCTCTGTTTTCAGGTGATGAGAACACTCTGTACAGGAGTAGTTTTTCTTGGAAAACTAAACCAGATATAAGTTTTCTTGTTCCTTATGGCAGTCATATTCTTCTCTTGGCAACATGCTCCTGCTGCTCAATTCCAGGCTTTCGATGACTCCAGAGGAGCAGAAGGAGTTCTGGCGCAACGTGCAGTTCACGGTGGATAAGGACGTGGTGAGGACTGACCGCAGCAACCAGTTCTTCCGAGGGGAGGGCAACCCAAACGTGGAAACTATGAGGTGAAGGGTCTGATTCTAGTGTCCCAAATAACGTGTATAGGAAACGTGGGGAGCCCCCTTGGCCCAGGCTGCCTAGGTCCCTGTGTTGGGAATGCTGAAGAGCACCGTGCATGTGGTGACAGGCACCAAGTGTGCAGAAACAAGCACTTCTCCCCCAGTGCTCTCACTGCTGCTATGGCCATGGACTTCTTGATACAATCACCCTGCTCCCACCACCCCACTTCCCTGCCTCCACAGGAAACAAGAGATTCTGTGGGATGCAAAATAGAATAATAGAATCATAGAACCATTCAGGCTGGAGAAGGCCCTTGGGATCACCATCCCTACATCCAACCATCATCCCTACTCTACGAAGTTCTTCCCTAAACCATATCCACCACATGATGCTCAGAAGTTCACAGGCCTCCATGTGCCACTGCAGATTATATTCTGAGGTGGCAGGAGGGATCTGTGGCTCTTGTGCACGCTGCCTGGCTCAGCCTGTGTGGTGGGAGCTGGGATGGAAGGGGAAGGGCACTGCGCTCAGCCCTGACGTGCCCTCTCAGTGTCTCACCTCTCCATTTGCATCTCTTCTCCAGGAGGATCTTGCTGAACTATGCAGTATTTAACCCAACAATTGGATACTCTCAGGGAATGTCTGACCTGGTTGCCCCACTTCTGGCAGAGGTCCTAGATGAGTCGGATACTTTCTGGTGCTTTGTAGGACTGATGCAGAACACAATCTTCATCAGCTCACCCCGGGATGAGGACATGGAGAAGCAGCTGGTGAGGCTGGATGCTGAGCTCCTGTTACTCTTGGCTTTACCTTTCCTGTCCCCAGTCAGATTAGAAGAAGCCACAAAGCAGTAGTCTGGCCTGTCAGGTTCCAGCATGCCAAATCATGCTCCAAAGCAACAAAATACTGATGGATAAAATTAATCCTGGGTGATTTGGGCACTCCAGAGGCAGTTATAGTGAATAAATTGTCAGAGTCAAGTTGCCCTGGCTATGCTAAAGGGTGCTGATTCAAGGAATCTTGTATGATCAAATGTATTTAGGGTGCCACTTGCCTTTTCTTTACACTTCTCTCAGTCAGTGAGGGCTCATTGATTGATCTCCAATCCTCCTCTTTGTGGTTTTTTTTTAAGATCTTAATTTTTTTTTAACTATGTCCAACTGAAAAGCCTTATATATCTGACAGAGTTTCTTAAAATAAGGTGATCTTGTTTAAAAATGGGGAGTTTTTAGATATTAGTGTGAATGTCAATTGTTTTCTGGTTAAGATCCAGAAAAAAACATTCTAAATTTGAGCAATCCTGTCCAGGTCATGATGGCCCCAATTTAAAGTGATAACCTTGTGGTGGAAGCCCCTCAGGAGGCTGCTGGTGAGGTGCAGTTAGTTAATGTACAGATGTATGCACTGTAATATTCCTGTAGAGTCAGGCTTTCCAAAATCACTTCCATATTGCTTGGCCTCTACTGAAATGAAACATTGCCAGAGATAACGATGTCTTTCCATTTGTCTAGTTTTTAAGGCTCTGCTGCTTCCCCCAGCCCACATCTCTCCCCTCTTTTCTTCTCACAAAGTAGCTGTCATGGGATTTTCTTTTCACCCTCCATGAAATACCTGCCCTGGCCTGTGAGCTCTGGCCTTTGATGCTGGATCCCAGCCTTGCTGCTGGCTGTGCTGTAATAAACAGGCTGTAAAGCTGGAGGGTGTTTGGAGAGCAGAGGACCTGGGCAGCTGTGTGGGAGCCCCGGCCTGGCGGGTGGTGGGGGCTGCAGGGGTGGGGTGAGGGTGTTGGCTCAGCTCCCAGGGTCTTTTCCAGATGTACCTGCGAGAGCTGCTACGGCTCATGCACCCGCGCTTCTACCAGCACCTTTCTTCCCTGGGGGAGGATGGTCTGCAGATGCTTTTCTGTCACCGTTGGATCCTCCTGTGTTTTAAGCGTGAATTCCCAGAGGCTGAGGCTCTGCGCATGTGGGAGGCGTGCTGGGCTCACTACCAGGTGAGAGAGCTGGTGCTGGGCACAGCAGCCCTGGGCCTTGCTGGATCCTTACCCTCTCAGCAAGCATTGCAGAATGTCCATGAAGGCTCTTAGTAGGAAAGTATCCAAAAGGAGGAGGTGTTACAAAGGGTCTGTAATTTATCTCTGTGGCAGGGGGATGGATCCCTGCCTCTCCTACTTGAGGATGTCTGAGCTTCAAAAGGAGGTTTTTCAGAAAGTGTTGAACATCCACTTATGAGGTTCAGGCTTTGCTTCCTCAGCAATGTTCCTCAGCAATGTTTTCCCAAAAATCACTGGTCTGCTCTGAAAGCTGTGGTGCAAACCTGCTCCTCTGCTCTAAATGCAAGAGTCTTTGGTTCGGAACTCACCAATAATCACGTCCTGAACATCTCTAGGCAAAACTGGAAGGAGCACAGAATCTCTGCTAAGAACGTGTTGATGGAGGGTGGGGAGGTGAAGTCAGCCCTCTGCCTCCATCTGCTGTGCTCCAGCCCCTGTTTTCTCATTGCAGACAGACTATTTCCACCTCTTTATCTGCGTGGCCATCGTGGTGATCTATGGGGACGATGTCATTGAACAGCAGCTGGCCACTGACCAGATGCTGCTGCATTTTGGCAACCTGGCCATGCACATGAGTGGAGAGCTTGTCCTCAGGAAGGTAAGTGCCCCTGTGCTGGTGGGGGCTGAGGCTCAGCTCCGAGAGGTGGGTCAGAACGTTGAGGAAATCGGGGAGTGATGCTTTATCTTTTGCACCTCCTGTGTCCCCCTGCCTGTCTGCAGCTGGGGGGTGTTGGGTGCTGCTGCTTGCCTGGAAACAAGTTTTGCAGAAACAGTAGGTAGTTGTAGAGTGCTTAGGTGAGGGTGAATGTGCCCAGGACGATGGCAGACAGAGCTGCTTGTCTTTGTGCCGTGGTCCCCAGTCCATCTCGGGTTGGCAGGGATTGCAGGCCAGGGGACCTGCTGGAGTGACCTGTGCCTCCTTCAGCCTGCAGCTTTGCAGTCAGCAGGGACACAACCTTCAGGTTTGTGTTCTGCTTCTTTACTGAAGCTTTGACTCTTCTAAGGCAGCCAGACAGGAGGATGGGACAGGAGGCCATGGGCTACCCCTGCTCTCCATGTTCATCCCCTGGTGAGGAGGGAATGACTTTTTCTCTCTCCCTTCCAGGCGAGGAGTCTGCTCTATCAGTTCCACCTGCTGCCCCGCATCCCCTGCAGCCTACATGACCTGTGCAAGCTGTGTGGGACAGGAATGTGGGACAGTGGCTTCATCCCTGCTGTGGAGTGCTCTGGCCACCACCCTGAGTCTGAGAGCTGCCCCTATGGGGGACTGGCCGAGGGGTCTTCTCCTAAACCAGGAAGTGAAGGCAAGAGAGGCTTGAAAACACGGGACGTCTTTGCCTTCCGAAAATAGCTGTAGAGGAACAGGGAGCGACAGCGGAAGAGGGAAGGGCAGGAAGGATGTGCATAGGAAAGAACTTTGAAGACAAATATGGAGGGACAGCTTGTCAAGACTCCTGACAGGACTGAAAGGTGGAGAACGGAGGAGGAATGGAATCACTCTGCAGGGAAAGCAAATTCCAGTGCACTGGTGGTAGAACCTGAATGAAATGCATCAAACCAGTATCAGTGTTTGCACGTGTTTGGATTTAATTTTGTTAGAAACATGAAGCTTTTCTAGGTCTTAACAAGGACTTTTTATTCTGCCTCTGGGATTGGACTGGTTAGCAACCAGAACTTTGTTACTTGCTGATGAGAAATGAGAACACTAAAAAGTACAACCAGCAGTGTTTGTGGGCCAGGAGAAGGACCAGAGCTGTGGCAGGAGCTCTCTCTGCCATGTTCCTTCATCCAAGCGTACCACACACATGCTCTCTCTGCTTCAACCAAAATGTGCAGCTTAGTGGCTTCTCTCTAAAGCCATAGAGACCATTTTAATTATAATCTGCCAAAAATAAAATAGCAGACTAATGGGATTGCAGGGAAGGTGTCTGCTTTGGTGTCAAGGAAGAACTGGTCACCCAAAGGTCTTGTCTCCTGCCTTTTCTTTTTTATATGTCGTACTGGCTGGCATGACTTTGTTTCCATTTGTACTGAAAGTGCACAGCCACGGGTCTTGAAGACACTTTTCTGTAGTCAGGTGTTTCATAGACACTTTTCAAAGTTTACTTCTTCAAGGCATTACAGCAAAGCTGTTTCTTTATGCTGACAGCTACAGACTTGAGACACTTGTTTAAGGGAATCTGTTGTTCCCATTATGTTTCCCAATGTGTTTCTTCGGGTGAATGTGGTGAATATTGCTGAATATTCACTGTCCTTACCTGCCTTGGCCATAGCCATGGCACACACACTCCAGGTGGGCTTTAGGCTCTTCAGCTGGTGCCAGTCATGAACCCTCTTCTCCATCCTGAAGTGAAAATGAAACTTGGTTCATAGCTCCGTCTCTGATGGAAGTTTCCCTCGAGGTATTTTTGAAAGAACAGTATGTTTCTTCTCCTGTCTTCTATAACATTTGCCAACTAGAAGTGGAGCTGGGGCCCTGAGCACAGCCATGTTGCCAAATGTCCTTACCAAATTCAGTGGCATCCCAAGGTGTGTCCTGAGCCAGCGTTTGTGCCAAACAGAGCTGGGGGAATAGTTTCCTTGTAGGAATTGAAAAGGAGAGGAGGTGACAGTGGGCTGTGCCAGCTGTGCTGATCCCCCTGCATGGTGTGTGAAGTCCTGCAGCCTTTCCTGGCTGTCTTGCTCCCTCTCACTTCAGCCACTTTGCTTCTCATGTGCAACTGTGTTTTGGTCTGGCAGAAGGGACAGCCCAGACTCACTTTCCAGCTCTGCCTGTCAGGCTTGTTTGTCCCATTAGCAGCACATGTGGAGACCCTGCACCCTTGTGCCTCATCCTGCAGTGGGTTCCTGCAGCTGAAAAGCAAATTT